ATTTCATGTTAAAGTCACATTACTATTTAGTTGTCTTCACATTAAACCTGAGTTCCTTTGTTCTCTGACATGTATGTTTATTGGAAATCAGAAAATGCATAAATTTTATCAAAGACAGACTTTGTACTTGGCACACTCTTCTAAAACTTCACATCTGTCAGAGGTTACTTATTAAAGTGCTAAATCAACCATCTTATCCCACTAACAATTGCCTTTCTCCCCTCCTGTGAATCCTAGCAGATTAGTCTATTTATTGTTAAAACCTTCACACATATCAGATCTCAAACCTCTAAATATGCCAAATACTCTTCAACACGTGTTGTGTTTCTTAAGGAAACTATGAACAGTGAGAAAATTTTGCAGTCGTTTAGGCTTGCTTCAAGTGTTGAAACAGATCAGAGTGGCTGTAGCATAGTTACAGTCAAATACTCTGTAACAGTAACTTTTAAATTTGATGTAAGATGTTACTTTCATTTAATATTACTTCAGTAGCATGACAGACACATTACCTCAGCTGATAAAGGCCAAGGCCGCGTGGAAATACATGGCATGTGTATTATAGCTGATTTTACCATCTCTGAAACAAAGTATACAAGTCTGCACCATCTACAGAAAAAAAACCTTATGAAATGAGATAAGTAGCAAATAGCAACCAAATTTCTTTAGAGTCATGGAAGAAGTAAACAGGTCATGTTTCTAGTGATATGCATTATCCAAGCCATAAGACCATATCACGTTTTGTTCTGAAGTAGGTTTTTCTATCTTATTAAACAACACAAAAACAATCTAATTTAGAAGTTAGAATCAAATAGGTCAGACTGAATTCAAATATGTTCCCCCATTCAAGAAATTCTGTGAATTTAAGAGACTATCAGCACTTAGTCTGAACATTTTGAAAACCTTCTGTGCATTCTCCACTGTCTGCTTCAGTCTGGATAGGACACATGAGACTCAGTGACTTGACTTCTCAGCCTGAGAATTAAATCCAAGATGATATATGTGGTCTTATTTTCAGAACTCTAGATTCCTACACACTTCTATATAAAAACTGATTATTGTGTTTTAAGTTATAGTGATTAGATTTGCTTGTTTGTTCAGAAGATATGTTCCCTGTGAACAAATTAACTGGTGTGGAAGAAAATTGCTTTCTTGTTGACTTACCTATACAACTCTTCAAAATTTTATTGAACATATAACATTTTGTATTTATATAAATACCATCATTAAATTACTTTACAGTTTTATGGAAAAGCTTGCACCATTTTTCTTATATAAACTGCAAATGAACTAGTCTTTCCCTCAGCTTTCCCCTTCAAACTGTTCCAAGTCAACCTGAAAAGGGTGTGTAGTGCAGAGAGAAGGAACAATAGAGACCTCTTTTTCAAGCAAGTAAATTCTAATTTTCCTCCCATTTAAAAACAATGTCTCTAAAGATAAGTTGTTCAGAGTATACATGCAAACCAGGGATATTTATCTGAACTTCCCCAATAAGCTGATAACAGGGCTGCTGTTAAAGCAGTCAAATGGATTTATAGAGTTTAAGAAATGCTTAAGCAAGAAGGATTAATTACTACTAAAGTGACTCCCAAACCATTAAATTTTATCAAATGCACTTCTTTTGATCAGATAGTATTTGACAGCTGTCAAAATGTTAAGCTTTAAAAATATCACTAAACTTAGAACTACCCCCAGAGGATTTTGATTTTCTTATTAAGATCTCCGTAAGGGTGGCACTATCAACTTCATACTGATAATTTTCTCATTTTCAACAAATTATTAGTGAATAAAGGTATAAGATATACTACAATAATGAAAGAAAACTTGAATTAGAGTTTCAGAGGTAACAAAATCATCTGGCAAACATTAAAATGCAATTGATCAGATTATCACAGGTCTCACACAGTGCCCACAGCTTGTTCCTGCTGAGTAATGACGACGTCTGAAAGGTAACAGGGATACAACAGTTGGATAGTGTTACAGCATGATCACTGCGACAATGCTCCAGCGATTGCATTTTGCTCAGCTATTCAGTCGTTCAGGTAGGGTGCTTAAGTAGACTGCTGACATGTGAAAACACTGCTTCTTTGAATATCCTAAGTGAAGCACTTATCCTGCAAATGTCATTGTTATTTTGACCATGGTGCTCACGAAACAGTGAAGGGCTAATGGAAGCTCCAAGTGAGCTCTATGCAATCCAAAACAAACAAAAAGAAAGTCTCTGAATTATTATTAGCTTTCTACTTCACTAGATTACAGAGCAGCAGCACAGCATGACATCCTGCACCTTACCCAAAACCTTATGCTAAAGCAAGTTACTATCAAGTAACTTTTCTCCAGTTTTATTCAGTACATGTTATACATCTACTAAAACATGTTATGCATCTCCTCACATGATTTTTAGCACGTCTGTCCCCATTCAAGGGAGAAACCAATTTTGAAGCACCTTCTCAAGAGAGAAATGTAGGAGGAAAACTTACTATTAAAAGCTGTATCTATACAAACTCTTTCATCTAACATGTCACAGTTTTGTTCTGTATATGAGTATCTTGATGCATATGCACACCAATAAACCACATAAATTAAAATTAATTGTCTGATGGTGCATCCTTAACTGGTTTATTCACACCTTACTCATATAATTGTCTTTTTGAGTTGTTGTTTTTTTTTGGTTTTTTTTTTTTTACCATTTACAGGGAAATTTATCCTAGATTAAACCCTGACAGAAACACATTCATTTGTATTCCTTCATCTTCATTAAATCCCTTTAGTCCAAGATGCAGAACAAGTAGTAAAAAGATTTAATATACCAAAGACCACTGTACAACAAAAAGGAAAGCTACACATCACTGGAAAAGACAAATTTCTGTCAGTGGAAAGGTAGGAATCACGGCCCATTACTGAACTTGCTGGCTGTAGCATGAAAACTATTTGAAAATTATGTTCTCTGACTATGAACAAAACACCAGATTTTTGTTGTTGTTTACAATGTGAATGATGAGTGTTTGCTTAGGATCTAAAACTAGAATCAGTGGAATGAGCTGAAAAATATATTTTTTAGAAATCTAGTCTAAAATGGTTTGGGGAAAAAAAAATTGTTCTTGCTGCCACTGTCTTTTACAAGAGCTGTGACAGAAGCGTCTTGTAATTTCATGCTGTAGGATCATAAGTGGAAGCCAGTGCCTTCACTGAGGTAGCACACAGCCTTGCCCCCACATCCTACCAGACCCTTTGGCACAGGCTGGTCAGAGTCCCAGTCCCAGAGGAGTAGGAGTCTCCAAGTGTTGCTATCCCCAAGGGCTCCTTTCACAACAGCAGCCCTGTCCTGATCTTGACTGTTATGGAGACTGCAGGAAAACCCACAGAAAACACTGAAAACAACTAAGTAACAACCAGCCTTGCCCACATTTAATCCAGCAAGCTCTCACTGGTGGAAATTTCACTGATAAGAAAACCAGCTTGTAACTTTAATTTGACGAAGTGACCCAAATAAATATTAGAGATTTTTTGCTTGCTTTGCCTTAAAGATTTCCAATGAAACTCTAGATGAGGATAATTTTCAGGCAGCATTAATGCCTGGGAACACACCTCAACCATGCTGCTACTGATAGCTGAAAGATGGGGGCACATTTTGCTTTAAGACTCCATTGGTGTTTTGTCAGTCAAGAAATCCATTGCAGTCCTGAACAAAACCCCAAACCAATACACTTTAGCCAGAGATCTAAAAAGATTTAAAAGAATGAACCTACCAGGCACTAATTCTTCTTGTAAAAGAGAAGGGTGTTTACATCAGTAAAGGAGGGGTGGCAGAGACTACAATTCAGATTAAGACATGACCAGATGCATGTGAAAGTAAGCAACTGAAAAGCAAAAGAAAATATAGCAAAAAAAAAAAAAAAAAAAAAGCAGAAATAGACCATTAAAAGTCAATTAGAATCCCAAGGAGGAAAGACAGGCAATGAAGGAACAGATTGATAATTATAAACTGCAAAACGGAACATTAGGTTAGCAAGATGACAATGCTGGATAGATGAAAAGAAAAACCGTTAAAAAACAGCAAGTCAACAACAAAAGACAGAAAAACAAGGTAAGTTAAAAAGAAAACATCTGCAATATGTGAAAAATCTTCTGTGATTGATTTGTCATTTACTTTCCTCATTTCTAGTTTTATGCTTCCTCTAACTCACAGTATCACATACACAGAATACTTTGTTCCAGCAAAGAAGAAAGATAATGATCACCCCTTGTACAAGAGTCATTACAGATGAATTTTGCTTTTTATCCTGAGAAACCAGTGGTGTTTTCACACCTTACACCTCCCTTCCCTGACACAAAGGTGCCTCTGCATGCAGCTTCATCATTCAGCCAAGTGAGTCTGATGACCACAGCCAGCCACGGAGAGCTGTGCGCTCAGCACCAGCATATTCATCTGTTCAAGGCACGCAAACTAAGCAGTTCTTAAAAACCCCAAATAAAACCAAACTAACACACCACTGCCATCCCTCACAAGTTTAACTCCCTCAATCTGCAGACTATATCAGACAAGCTAAATGCTCATTTAGAATATGAGACCAGACAACAGGATTGGAACAGGACTAATACACTGCCTCAGTGGCAGGTAATTAAATTGGATTAGTTTGGCTGAGTCTTGAAAACACATTTGAAAATCCTGTGCATTTTTCCTGCCAGGTGACGATCTGTCAATGGAAGAGTCATAAGTAGGAAAACAATTAGAAATTGAGGAGTTTTCTCTAAGATCTTTGCAAAATGCATGTCTCTGGCCTTATTTATTATCCATTTCTGTGTAATAAATTGCACTGGACTAAGTGCAGTACAATACGTACAATAAGTACTATATGTATTCCTGATGAGTTGGTCACAAATTAAGTTAAATTGGACTGTCTACATCTCATCTCTGGCCTCATTTTTAGTACTAACAACCTTCCTCCATAAACCTGACCATCACCTGTTACATCCTGTAGCCCAAGGTCACTAACACTCACCTGGAGCTTGACAGCTGGCAACTCTGGAAACCGTGGACCCTTAAAGGATCTGAATTGGTACCTTTGTTCTTTAAGTCTTCAAAAGATTTGTATCCAGCCTCCACAGGAGTAGAATGAGCTAATTACACTTAAAATGGCTAGTAGACTTCCCTCTGGCTGCTGCATCCCCTGGCCAGGAGCTGTTGACAAAAAAATCTCTTCCAAGCTTGGAAAGCAAGTTTATCTTCAGGGTGCAGTAGTGTTATCACAAACAAGAGTAATTGAGGGATCGGCTACTTGACAGGCTCATGCAACAAACAGGAGTTTGCTTCTTTCATAGCTTCCTTCACAGCTTTGGGTTGTAACTCTTCCCCGAGAACTCGGATAATGTCAGGTGTGCTGTCTGATGTGGGCTACAGGTGAAAAACAGGATGTGACAAAAATTTGTGTTCTCTTGCATAGTAGGCATCTAATGCCAAAACCTCCCGCACTTCCAATCTGCATCAGTCTGGGCAAGCAATGAAAATGAAAGAATCCAGGATCCTAAAGAGGCTTTTGACAGACAGTATGTTTTTGGCAAACGAGCATCTGAAGAACAGTACAAACATTTTGATACTACTCCAAAATAGCTCAAAGTCTGTCTTGAGAAGTATCAATAACAAAGAGCAAAAGCCTCCAGAACATAAAAGCTGTTGACAAAACTGTCAGTGCTGCACAGCATTTGACAAGAAGTATAAGAATCAGCCTGGAGCTTAGAGGGAAGAAAATGGAATCCACCACCCAACCCACAGTCACCCACAGTCACCCCTTAACCTGGAATCAAGCTTGACCCTCACCACTGCCCTGCCCATGCACAGACAGCAAAAACCAGCAGACACATTACACAGACAAAACTGTCCCCAAAACTAAGGAAAAAAACCTTAATAAAAGATTGAGCATTCACTAACATTATACTAACATTGCCAGATGAAAAACAAAACCTGGTATCCTTTAAAGACAAAATAATTTTCCTTCTTGAATTTTAGACTGAAATACATGTAGAGCACACTTTTTTGAATACCATTTCTGGTTTGAATACACATTCATTTCAGAAACATAAAGGAAAAGCTCATTTCATCTTTCTGGTCAATGACAAAAAAGAGAACTGACTAAATGAAACCTTATTTGCATTACAACTGTTAACAAAAAAACTTTTTCTTCCATTGTTAATAAGCAAAAAGTCACAATTCTTTCTTTGTAGGTCACTCTTTTCTCTCATTTTATTAAAAAAGTGAAAATAGATTGGAGTGGAAAATAAAAATAGAGAAATCAAAAATTAAATAGCAATTTTCTACAATTATCATAAAATTATAAAGAATAGCTTGAAAAAAAATCTTTGTTGTTAAAGACCACTAGGAAATGAAAAATTGCAACCGATTGTATAATGATATCCACTAATCTCTTAAGATTCATAAATTAATTCAATACATTCATCCTCTCAGTGTGAACCTATTGTGTTGCTGCTTCTTAATAACAACTAAAATAAACATAATAAATTTACTTAAAATTTCCGTCACAAATAACACTCCACTATATCTTCATTTCACATTTTTGGGTTTCTAGAATATTCGAACTATGCTACGCTATTTCATAGCATTTCTATATAATGCTTCTATTTACATCAAAAGTCCTGAAAAACCAGAGATTTAATGGGGAAAAAAAAAAACTTTCACATTTTTCTTCTAGTTAAAATTCTTAGTAATTTACAAAGGTTTTTTTGATTCCCCTCATTTTTTTTCCCCAGCAAGGCCTACTAGAGATAAATCTCCCATTGCTCTGTTTGAAAATGAAATATATTGAAAATAATTTCTTTTATATAGGATGTGGTTTATTTTTAGGTGGTGATAGTTCAAGCCTAGTGTTTCATTCACATAGGGTTTTGTCCACTTGGATGTCTAAAAAAGGGGTTTATTTTGCTTTGTAATTAAAATGAAGCCGCTGTCTTGCTTCTGCAGCCTAAATAACATCTAGCTGAGTCACAAAATGAGCTTCCGTTTGACTTCCTAGTTGTAAGGAGTTTGGGGAGTCTAACACTAGTCTGTTTTGGTGACAGAAGGGGGAAGAGAAGAGGTTGCTTTTGTTTGTCATCATTCATATGGCAGAACACACTCAAATAATTTCAAACTTTTCTGCACCTCTGATATTTGCAACATTATGGTTTACAACTTTGTCTTCATCATCATACTAAAAGACCCAAATTAATTAGTTTTGTATAGAACACTAACACAAATACAGCCTTTTCAAAAACAAAACTTCTGATTTATTAAAGTTCATCAATGTTAAAGTAAAAAGGGGATGTGAAGATATTATCTGAACAATAACCTTGACTCTATTAAACAAATAAGAATAATCTTTATCAAAAAGTAAATTTCAGGCAAGTCTGTTGTCAAAATTCTGAGCAACTGAGAAGAAAGCACCAGAGGAAAAACTTGCCACAAATCTTGAAAGATATTTTAACATTCCTTATTTACAGATAAGGAAATTATGCACAGATGTTATACCCAAGAAGGATATGTACTTAACTGAGAATAAACATCCAGAATTAGCAAGCTCACCTCTGAATAGATATATTGCAGAGAAGCACTCAACCCACACCTGTGTAATTGCATCAAGCAGATTTCTTAGGTAACAGGCTTGTTGCTATGATTCCTAGGGATCTTTCTCAATGTGTGCCTCACTCTTTAAAGTCAGTATTTGTCTTAGGATGCTTCAGCAAGAACTTGCTTGCCCTGTTTGAATAGAGATATTTCTAGCTCACAGACACATTTAGAACTGACATTTTTTTCCTACATAAGTTCCTTCTATTTGTTTCTGCTTAATTGATGTTATGACTCTGGTGCATAAATTCTTCCTGTTTTGCTATTGCAGCTGATGGAAAGGTGACAATGGAGGGCAATAGAGATGCTTAACTGCACTTAATGCAGGCAGATTAGAGTTTACTTGCAGTAGTGTTATTACAAAGCCTGAAAAGACAAAGCAAAACAGCTACAGCATGATTCAGCTGTTCAAGGATCTTGGTTTTACCAAAACTTACAAGCCTAGTACAAGAAAATAGTGCTCGAGCACAGCTGGTATGCTGCAATCCCATCATTGTTCACAAATAGCAACAGAATCATGTAAGAAATCTGTGTGAGAAACTTGCCACAAACCATGTTAACAGAGACACATAACACACTTCCAGGGGTAGTCTGTTCACTGTTAATAAGGCATGTGAGGAGATCTTTGGTTTAGTCTACAGACATGCCAAAGTTACTGCTTATGTGACTGCCATTATATTGGCTGTTAGTGGCCTTCCGCACCTCTCTAAAGGCCACTGGTTCCACAGGAATGCCTGCTGTTCTCCAAAGACACAAAGTAGTAACACTCAAACGTCATGAGAAAGGAAGGGATGCAAACGCCAATGTGAGCCACATAAGGCTGACAATAACATCTTGCAAAGGAAACCTAGTATTTACCTGCTCTGTTATTTTTGTTGTATTAGGTCTTAATTAGACAGTGTGTCTGCTCAAACGATCAATAGGACCTTGCCTTGACATATAAAGATCTAACCACAATTGCTGTTCTCTTCGTGTTTTCTGTACTAATAGTAGAGCATCTGCCATTCTGCAGAGCACTAGAAGCCTGTGAAAGGTACTATGCACACTAAATCCCCATTTTTTGCTCTTCCAGGATTACCAAGAAGATAAAAGATATTTCTCTCTCTTTACACAGTTCTTGTTGCATGTCAGGTCTTTCAGATTGCAGATCATCTAACTTTTCAAGCATTGAGCAAGGGTTTTTCACAGTCTCTCTGCTCTCATCCTCCACAATATTAAACAAAATCTGCTGTCCTAGATACAATTTTTTCTACATTAGTAATGTGCAGAGACCTTCAGGTTGCATGTTAACTATCATTTATCATATTTCTAACAATATAGTCAACTATTCCAGAAGTACCCTCTCAAAAATCCTGAGAAAATTTTTAGATTACATATGTGTGTGTAGAAGATTTAACAGGGACGATAATACAATTTATTATTATTTTATTCCAAATTAGTTTTAATCTTTGTTTATGTGGAAGATTTTAAAATGTAGGAAACAAATTTATTAGTCTAGGTTTTCACATTGCCCTGGATTAACAAGAGACTTTACCAACTCAAATTTTTAAATTTTGTGCTGTCATTTCCTTTAGATACTGCATTACTGTGCCTTCTTTTCATAAATTGGATCTTTACCAATTTCCTTTTTATCTGCCATAAGAACATCTTCAACACTTCTAATTATGTCCTTTTCCTTCTAGATCTCATGATTTCCTGACTAGCCATCCTAACAGCATTCTGCAAGTGGAAATCTCTGTTTCTTCTGTTAGACAGGTGTCAGGATCCATCCCCATACAGGCCACCAGTTGTTGGCATCAGTGCTTAGCACCAATTGAGTGGATGGGAACTGACTGTCACTGTTAGTTTATTACCTTGCTGTAGGACTTTGATACCTTCTCTCTGTGAGTTCTCATGGGCAACTCCTCATAGCACTGACTCCTTTTCTCTTCCTTACACAAAGCTGGTTGACTTCTTCCTGTCCCTAACACACACACCTGACCCTCACTCCTCACAGCAGCAGACCCAACTGACTCCAACTCTCCTCTCAACGAGCTGAACCACTCTTTATACCACCCATCCTTATTGGACACGGCTGTGCCCTATTAAGGGCAGGACTGTTCCTACTCTTTGGTAATCAGTACAGCTGCAAATTCTCAGGGGTAAGACTGCCTTCAGCACTATCTCTGTTCTCTCACAATCCATCCTCCCACAGATAGGTATGGATAAATTCTGCTATTTATCTCTCAATGGTTTACACCGTAAGTACATAACCATTGTTTTATCTGCTTAAAATCTAAACTCAATCTGAAAACTACATCAGAAGATGAGTGTAAAGCTGGTATATAATAACTTAACTTCCTCCCCCAGCAGCATATTCTTTTGCTACCTAGAAAATAATTAGCACAACACAATCACACATATTTTCTGTATAATAAACAAATGAGTTTCATAGGAGAAAATAAATTATATCATGAAACATTAGCCACTGCTTAATTACAGTTTTTATGTGATGAAGTACTTTAGGAGGACCTCTAATTCACTACTCCTTGCCTGAAGCAGTGTAATCACACCAGTTATATAAAAACCTGGGGCCATTCAAATTACTCATCTGTGTTGCTGGAGTTTTGGGGTGGTTTTTGTATATACTTTTCAAATTATAACATTGATAAACGATCATTTCAAAGAACTTTTTTCTCAGAAAGACATACAAAAGAATAAAATCCAGTTAGAAAAGTGAACTCATTGGTATTGTCTAGTTACTACATTAAAAAGTCAGTGCACAGCAGGAATTTAATATTTAAGTATGAAATACAGATAAAGCATTCATAAAAGATACCTTAATTCAGGTAAATCAGCACACCCAGTTTTCATCATGACCTTTTGCACATGAATTTTTGAAAACATTATGTTTACAAGAAACACGAATTTAAATAGGCCATGAAATACATGTATCCTGATTCCAAAACTAGTTTTTAAACAGGCGCTAATTAAGTGGTTATCACTGAATGTTGAGACTGTGCCAAAAAGCACTGCAAAAGTTGACAGCAAAGCTCACAGCAAAATAACCTGAGAATAAAACCTGATATTCCTCTTCACAGCTCCCTGCTAATAAAAGCATTAACTTAAGAGCACATATGAAGGGAAGTGAGGACCTCCTGCTGCCTCTCTGATATGGTGTTGGTGGCAAATGGGCAATTTCCATACATGTGGCAATTTACTGGTGTTACAACCCATGCCCAAATGCCTTGAGGCACTGAAGTGCCAGTCAGGAGAGCAGGACCGGCATTAACATATCATTATGAAAGAAACAGCAAAGGGAAAAAAAACCCTCTGAATGCATGTTTCAGTGGAAGTTTCTTTGTAGATATTTTTAGAGGCAGGACCTGAAATTTCATGCTCTCAGAGGCACAATGCAATTCACTCTTCTATGAAATATTAAGCAAAGGCAGTTACTCTTCATTTCCTTGTGACCATTCCTCTGAGTTTGCAAATGGCCAGATTCATCTAGAATTATGCAAGCTGTAGTAAAAGTAAATAATCTTGTTATGAAAGTAGATACATGTTGTAAAAGAAACCAAAAAAGTTTGCAAGATAGGGGATTAGACTCAGTCAATAACATATAGGAGTTCATGAATAATCCAAAATATCCTGTACTTCCCTTAGTGAGGAAAGAGAGAAGTTGTCCCACTGTTTATTTATCACACTGTAATGTCTGGGAACTCTTTACCTTTCTTTTTAATGCACAGCTCCAGATGATATTAATAAGACCCCAAAATATATATCCCACTTAAATACAGACTCTTGAATTCCAAGACACACAGTGAAGTGAAAATTCCCTTTGTTAAGAAAGCTAGATCTTTTTGCATATTGCCAACTAGCAGTGTTAAAAGTAGCATCTAATATTACTGCAGGTAAGAGGAGGTACACTGTTAAAACTTTTAGAAGTTTATCTAGAATTTTAGTTTGTTCACTTCATATAATTGGCAACTTGACTATAAATAAGTGGATGTTTTTTCCTGTGAAAAACACCTAATCAAGTTCCAAACCTGCTCCCCACTCGAAAAGTAATTGGGTGGGGAAAAAACAAAACAATACCACAAAAAATGCAATATAAATTTCAAGTTCATGAAACATTCCTTCTGCTCAGGGACCAAGCAGACCATTTTACTTCTTGACAGAATGCTTCTGTCCCCTAAATTTCATACATGAATTTTAATCTGTATCAAAACCAATTTAAAAATGCACATACATCCCTTTGCATATTCTTGGAGTTTTATGGTTTGCAATGACCAATTACATTATCTTTTAAATTGTTCATTCTAGGCCACATATGTCTTAAATATACTTTTGCTCCATGGGACATGTGCCTGGAGTTGTACTGTGCAACAGCCCAAAAACACAGTCCTTGCCACTTCATGAACACATAGCACCTTTTGCTGGTTAACAACTCTCCATCATGTTTTCCTAGAACAGGTACATCCATATACCCAATGATTGATGGATGATTCAAAAAATAAATGTCTTTCCTTTGCACTTTCTAAAGCAAATGGCAGGTGGCTTTCACTGCTGTATGATTCCTACTGGTTCAGCACACAAATCCAACTTCACATCTCTTCCAATATTCCTATTGCTTCCTAAATACCAAGCCTGTTGGATGAAGCTGTGCTAAGCAGAGCTGTAACAAGCATGGGCACAGGTACACCCCAGGAAAACACTATTACCACCTGGTCACTCGAGTCTTGGATCATTTTCAAGGGAGACCTGTTTTATGTTCAGCATAGAGAATATCCAGCCCTGTAATGTTCCCAAAATTTCCACATATATTTTTCAGGTGCAAAAGTAGTATCTAGAATGTCTAGGCTCCCTCACACCCCTGATACTTCCTACAGCGCAATTTTTGAGGAATGAGTTCTTATCTATTAAGACACAGAAAAAGCAAAAATTTGTGCTCTGTGGAATTTGGCAAACAAGCAGTAAATATTTACCAGCTGCTAAGATCAGCTGGCTGTTTGAATTTAATCTAAGTATAATTAAACAAACAAACAATCAAGATACTGAGATTGGATTTAACAGTGTGGAATAAGACCATTCAAACCCTCTTCCATTTTAAAATTATACCAGCATTAATGATAATCAATGCAAATTCTTCCTTTCACTACTAGAAAATTATTAATTTTTTGTTAACTAACAACAGCACAATAGTTTCATAAATCATTGCCAGATATCTGTAAGGATGCCATCTGAGAAGAATTTAATTTTTAAAAGTTTGCTGTCATAACATTAAAATGGTTTGTCAAAACAACCTTGTCTCCAAAGGTATCATGGCTTTGTTTAAATGAACATCAGTTCTTCATTTAGAAAATATTTTCTAAATGAGAACTGTCAATTTTTGGCTTGCTTTCTTAAACTAGAATTTTGCCTAATGCATTTTCCTTATTTATTTAGGAAAAGCTCATTTTTAGTTTTTTAAAAACTCAGGTTTTCTTCCTTAAAAAAAAAAAAATTAAGCATTTGAAATTTCAGTCTCAAATCTCAATTTTAAGGCTTTCATACTGCAAGTCATACAATAGTGGAAAGAGAAGGGTTGAGCTTTCAACAAGTCCCAGATTTTTTTCAAATTTATGCAGGAGTTAAATAGATACTAATAAAAACAAAACACCGTAAGGTGCCCTAATCCTTTTAACCATTAAATTCCAGTAGTATTCCAGGCTTCCTCTAGACATGAAGTGTTAGTAACACCAAACAATACCAAACCAACCAACCAATCAAAAACCAATCAAAAAACCCAAAAAATATTCTCAATCATCCTAAGTTAGTGTTATAAGAGATATAACCATTATCTTTATGGAAAGCTGAGCCTTTTGAAACAATAAGGACTAAAATAAATTTTTTATGGTTCTGGAAGGCTTAAATTTTCTAGCACATTTCTGCAGAAAAATCTGTACATATGTTATGAATAGGATTTCAACTACAAAATACTGCAGTACAGAATAATTCCATAGCAGCTAAATTCCCAGCACATTAGCCGATCCCTTCTACAATCTCACAGTGCCTGACTACTGAGGATTGTCCTACACAAAGTTCAGGAAAACTGTTTATAACCAGGGAAATTCTGAACCAGCATGATCTTTTAGCATCTATCATGCATTTTGTTTCTCATTTTTTTTCTTAAGACTTCTTTTGGTGACTCCTTGCAATTATTTGCTTATAGATTTCCTGATTAAAAATATAAAGATAAAAAAAAATCCAAGTATATTTAAAACCTTCCTCCCAAAAACCTATGCATATCCATTCTTTTTCCAATTCCTGTTATTATTTTTAAGTCAACAAATTCCTTATGTAATATTGGATGAAGGCCGGAAAAGGAGAAAGAAAAGGAGACCAAAAAAAGGAACATGCTCAATTTTCAGTGCTGAGAACCAGGCTCCGTGGCTTTTAGTGTTTAAATTTTGTCTGTTACCAGGTAGTCATTTTGTTAAGTCTTCACGAAAAAGATAATTCAAAGAAAAAAGTAGGCAAAACACCAAGTTAGACAGTGACATAAAGACCCATTCTATCCAATTATGAAGGTAAATCTAACAGGTCGTCAACCATTCTACTCAAAGAAAGCATACAGGTTAAAAGGCTGATATGTGGAATTTAGGAGAGGCAGCAAGCAGAAATAAAATGGCATGAGGAACAGACTGCACACAGAAAAAAACCCACGGTACAGCTCAAACAGAATCTGTTTTAACAGAAAATTAATCAAACATTTCTTTTCAGTTTCTAAAGAACACAACTGAAAAATCACAAACATGCCTCTGACTATGTGGTAACATAGTGTCCAAAGAATTAAGCTGTTAATTCAACACTCAAGATTAATGTCATACTATAAATTTGACACTTGATATTTTTCTTGATCACATGGGTTTCTGTGCTCAGCTAAGAAGAAAGGAGACACAAATAACTCATCATTGCACAGAAAACCTTACATTATTGGTCTCTAACACAGGGTGGGAGGTGAAAAATACTTAGACATGTTTGAACCCAACGCTAAGAAAGAAGAAATTATTTTAAAAAATGGGCTGATAAAGAGAAAACAGTGGTGTCTACTGCACTTCTTGCCTGGCATTTACAGCTGTGGTTAGGGGCTTATTAGGGGAATATTGCCATGTAGTGAATACAGAAAACTACCTGAATGCACCACTTACAAGCATCTGGTTGCTGGAAGCGAGCTAATTAGCTCCTGGATGCCAATGATTCAGGTTCCAATACAGCTTTTAATTTCACCGTTATCTCCATCCTCGGAGACACCCAAAAACCGTCTGGATAAAGTCCTGGGCAGCTTGTTCTAGGTGGTTCTGCTTGAGCAGTGATGTTGGACCTGATGACTTCCAGAAACCTCAGGTCTTCCATGATCCTCTGATGAAGTCACACCAAGAAGAAATTAAACCTGTGCCACTGTGAGGGCTCTGAA